GAGGCAGGGTGGCCGCCGTGCATGTGTGGGAGCCCGGGGGCGTCGTTTCCCTGGTGGCTTGGCAGCTCCAGGACTGGGGAATCTTGGCTGCTGTCCGGGCCTGTCTGGGGGGTGGAGCCCTCAGCAATGGGAACACAAGCTCGGTCTGCCCAGTCGGGCTGCTGGGATCCGGGCACCAGGGTCAGGCAGGGCTGGCAGGCGGGGCCCTCGGCCACCTGGGGACCCCGGGAGGCACTGTCACCTCTGGGCTCAGCTGAGACCTGATGTGTGTGACCCTCACCTTACCCCTGGGGTGCAGGGCTGGGAGCGTGAAGGGGACGCGACACCCCATCTCTCTGCCTGCCCCCTGGACGGCCGCACTGCAGGAGGCGGGGAACGGAGAGCTGGGTGTCCAGGGGCCACAGAGGGGGACCCAGCAGGATGGGTGCTGGGTGTGGTGAGGGGAGGGATGCGGCCCTGCACCGAGAGACACGTCACCAGCGGTGGGAAGCCTCCCGGGGTGCTGCCTGACACCTCACCGTTTCCCACTGTGGCAGCTGCCTCCTGGGAGGGCCTGGTGACGGTGACGTCCTGGCTTCCTGTCCGTCCCTATTAGGTCATGGGAAAGCGTAGCTCCGGGGCCTGCCTGAATCACAGGTGACAGCCGGGAGTGACACCGCACACACACGCACATACGCACACGCATGGGCTTCGCAGAAACCGGGCCGAGCCCCTGGGTGGGGGGCGGGGGCCCAGAGCCACCTGGGAGCTGGCGGGCGGCCATCGGTGACGAAAGCCCAGGGGAATGGAAACAGCGCTCGAGCCTGCTGTAACCGCACGCCCACTCGGCGGCCTATAAAGGTCCCACCGGTCCGGCGGCCACAGCATCTTGGCGCTAGTCCTCTCCGCGCCCTCCTCATCCACTGCCATGGCCACCACCATCCGCCAGTTCACCTCCTCCAGCTCCATCAAGGGCTCCTCTGGCCTCGGGGGCTCGTCCCGCGCCTCCTGCCGGCTCTCTGGCGGCCTGGGTGGCGGCTCCTGCAGGCTGGGCTTGGC